AGAGGTTCTGCTGGATTCTTCTTTTCTGTTTCTCTTCCTGATTTTCATTGAGACATTTAATGATCAAATCCGAAAATAAACCTGGCTTTCATAGATTTTTTATATATCACCCCCCAGTCTGACCGTGTTATTGGTTAAATTTTATTTTATTTTTTTAGTTGGTTTTCTCCCTATGGTGGAATTAAGATATTTTTTTAAAAAGCGTTAAAGTGGTCATTAAAAGCACTTTTTCCTCCTTTATCGATGTAGCTGATGTAACTTATCTAAAATCTTTATTAGAAAGTGTTCATCAGAAGGATTTATCGTAGGTTTTTGGAACCCATTCTAGGAATTACAGAGTATTCTGATGGAAGATTTGAACCAACCTACCAATATTTAACACAGAAGTCGCTCCTGGAACCAGTTAAACTCTGTTATAGAGGTTCTTATGTATTAATCTAAATTAATCCCTTTCCCCCTGGGTCTCCTGCAGGCTGCCAGCAGCAGTTCAAACAGGAAGTGGCTTCCCGGCAGCCGGAGCAGGTTTGGCTGCCCTGCAGCTTCTGCTGCGGGTTCGCCCTCCGGACCCTCAGCAGCCATTACGGGGGGAAGGTGGAGGAGTTCTGCCGCCCACACTGCATGTCCCAGTTCACCGTGCTCTACTACGGGGTGAGAGCCATGGTTATGCTCCAGGTTTATTCCTGTTAAAGGCAGTTGTTCCCTCCCTGGGTCTCCTAGTGCTGCTCTGTTTGGAAAGCTGGAAGATTCATGTTGTTGTTGTTGGGATTTGGAGTTATAGAAATAAAATTGAATTTAAACTGAATTTAATTTAATTTAATTTAACTGAACTGAATTTAATTTAATTTAATTTAATTTAATTTAATTTAATTTAATTTAATTTAATTTAATTTAACTTAACTGGAACTGGAACTGGAACTGGAATATAATTTAACTGAACTGAACTGAACAGAACTGATTGAACTGAACTGAACTGAACTCATTTGAACTGAACTGAACCGAACTTAATGAACTGATTGAACTGAACTGAACTGAACTCATTTGAACTGAGCTGAACTGAGCTTAATGAACCTCAGCAGCCACTATGGGGGGAAGGTGGAGGAGTTCTGCCGCCCACACTGCATGTCCCAGTTCACCGTGCTCTACTACGGGGTGAGAGCCATGGTTCCACTCCAGGTTTCTGCCTGTTAAAGGCAGTTGTTCCCTCCCTGGGTCTCCTAGTGCTGCTCTGTTTGGAAAGCTGGGAGATTCATGTTGTTGGGATGTGGAGCCATAGAAGTAAAGTTGAA